TATACCCCTAACTATAATTAATTCTTTCAACATGAAATTGCTCCCGTCAGTTTTATTTCTAGTGGAAGAGAATGGGAAACCTCCATGATTTTTTTTATGGAACACACCTCTGTTCGTTCTACAGTGTCATGCCTCCTGTGACACTTGCAAGTGTTGAGACTATTAGCGTGTACAGTTCCAATACGAAATGGCGCTTCCAACTGGCAAGATCTCACGTTTACGTTGTACTTCTTCGTTGGTGATTCAGGGGCTGTCTGAGAGTAATATCTCAATATATTTCTCTCTTCAGAACGGTTTGAAGCTCGTGATGAGCGAATGGGGGATTCTGTCTGATGACGTTGAGTTATGGATAAAAGGCACATTGTAATGTTCAAGACTCGGTTACTGCTTTAAACATTAAAGAGAAAGGATTTGCGAGAATATCTCAGTCCTCTAAGATACATAGGGGGCAATGGGGTAACGAACCCATTTCGGAACCTACCGTGGTAGATAACTCCAGAAAAGCTGATTCCTTAGCTAATGCTCGGATTTATCTCAAGAGAATCGTCTGAGTAACGTCCGTGTCATAGTAGCATCACATTAAAGCCAGCCTCCGTGACTATTTGTAGAAAATCAGTTTCTTATGACGAACGTTATGTTTCTGAATAAACCATTAATTTTGGTTTGTTATCCGTCTTGTTATTTTTTGAAAGCAAAATCGTGTACTAGTGAACAATTTGATGTTCTACAGTAATCCCTTTATGCTGAATCTGAAAATGATGCCCATTTTTTCTCCATCACGTACAGATTTTTTCACAAAACTTCATATCTACTTTTATATATTTTCATTGAAATCGGGTCACATTTTGTTATGCTTAAAATGTTGACCACCATTGGCTATAGATTTCTCTAGACCAATCGCGACGTGAGAGTCTTATCCATCGTTTTAGAGCCCAAACGAAACAAACATAATAATAAAAATATTCATTGTGGTAAACGAAATAATAATTTGATCTAAGTAAGAGTTTTTTTTTCCCCAATTTGTAAAAAACCCCAATGTGATAGAAAAAAAAAAGAATATTATCTTCGAAACTTGCGTAGTTGTATTATGGAAAATCCGTTATTAAAACCAAAACAACTTTTACAAGCTGGTGAACCGTGAATATATGTAATTATTCTTTTCATAAGACACCATTATTAGACCTATTATATTTTTAACAATGTATCCTTTATTTAGTTTCTTGTGGATTTTTAAGAATTAGAAGAGTGTATAATAATAGTGTCCCCTTTCAACTACATTTTAGCACAAAGTAGTGGTCTTGTACATAAAACACAGATGGGAAACAGGAAAAAGCATCCTTATGAGGTCTAAGAGGACGTTCGTCATTTCACATCTGTAAGTCAACTTGAAAGACCTGTAAGATTTGAGGTTTCGTATCTGTAAACATATTTGAAAGATGTATAGGAGTTAAGGTTTCGTATCTATATCTGTAGGGATTGAGGTTTCGTATCTGTAAACTTACTTGAAAAGTCTGTAGGAGTGGAGGTTTCGTATCTGTAAACTTACTTAAAATATCTGCAGGAGTTGAGGTTTCGTATCTGTAAACTTACTTGAAAGATGTGTA